AGAGAAAATTCGAGCTATGCATATTCATTCCATAGAATTTTTATCCGCAGTAATTTTCATCCACAATGCATCGCTTCATACACAAACGCTAAAACCACGTTCTCGCAAGAATAACGACAAAAGTTAAAAGAAAACTAAACTTGCCTTGATTTAATGAATTTATCTGTTTATTGCAGAAAAAATAATCATAAACTGATTGAAATCAGCCCAGTTCAGGCGTCGGTTTGGTAAAGCAACATGCAAACGACGCCATGTGATGTCAAGAGTCTTAAACGCACCGAATTCCACGTGCGGTTTGACGAGTCCGATCTAAATTAAAACTGGATAAGTGTCTGCGCTCGCCCTAACGGTAGCACGGTCAACATATTATTTATTTCAGCAATCAAGAAACAAAATTTGAATTGTTTTCAATGATATTTTGAAATTTTTATATTCGAATATATCTCGGTCTGCTTTAGAAGAAGAGCTCCGTATAAAGATATACAAAACTGATCAAATCTAAACACTAAAATGTATGAAATTTTTCTTTGTCAAATGATAGTTGATAGCTATAGATATCATATCTAAAAATTTACGATGTATCTGGTTGTTGATTTCATGTTAATTTGTTGACCCCCCAGCCTTCTTAATTAAAAATACCGAAACCTCAACACACCTTAGTTAGTCATAAGGGCACACTACATTTCTAGTAAATCGTGCAAGATAAAAAACCTTACCTTATTTATTGCTTGCAAGAAAACGTTATGGTAATTGTATTGAAAATAGAAAAATAAAATAATCTTGTCATATAAAATACGATTATGCATGAAAAATTGCTTGCAGGATTTATTTCAAGTGTTAAATGAATCACACCTCCTAACCTTATTAATATTCAGGGTCATAAACCAAAGGGAGCATTCATTGCATCAGATATTTTCTTTAAACAAGGAAAGACAACTCAAGATTTTTAATGGTATAGTTAGTTTCTTTTATCAATTTATATACATTTACACTGTGATTAATTGGAGGAAAAAAATATTTTGAGATATATGTTTTATTTCATCAACATCATTTCTGATCAATGTTTATGTTAAATGAGTATAACATTAACACACAGTCTATTTCCAGTATGAAATACTGCTTATGTATATAAATATGTTCACTAAGTTTCTGTTTAATGAATACAGGTAAATTGATTTTTAAGTATGCACTGTACCTGATTTTACATAAGCTACATATCTGCAGCTACTAATACATGTATATATCTCTGGAAGGTATCTATCTACATAATTATATTCTGTAATTGATTTTTTTTTTGGTTAAATGAATTCAAAAAAAATAATTTAAACTGATATGTACACCATTTATACATCATGACTCATATTGTAAAAATAAAAGACAAAGTAAACAAACAGCATGCAATCATATTTGTATTTACAATAAATTATTAAGCACTACATGTAGACAGACAATGAAATATTCAACAACAAATAAGTTGTAAATTACAGGAAGTATGTACAATAAAGATTACGCTGTTTAAAAATGAAGTAAAAATTTATAAAACAATATTTAGATATCCTTCACAAGATCTACAAATTTTGAATATATCTTTAATAAACAAAACTAAGTTCACATGTACATTCTAATTATTTTTTTCGTCCTATTCAAAAAGATTAAAGTTCCATTTTTAAAGAAAGTCAACCTTATAATAAAATTCATAGTAAAAATATTCAGGTGTTTCTTTCTTTACTGATCTGGTTTAAAATACATGTGTAATTAAAATATGCAACTCATATAGTTTAAGCGTTCAATACTAGTGAGAGCTAGCTATTACCCCCCTTTTTTCCAAACATTTTCTATACTGTGACTGAATTTATTAAAACCACCAGTTTTAAGTTATAAATCTTATCTTATTATTGTACAACCTATGAAGTCGCCTGCTTGGCGCAGTGGCAAGAACGTCTCCTTGAGAGTCATGAGTTATAAGTTGATCATTAAATTGCTGGTTCGAAATCCCACTGTCGGAAATAGAGAAAAGACTGTATATACAGAGGTCCTGTGTTGCAGTAGGTGCTAGCACCAAAAAGATCCCTCATTGCTCAATTAGCCATGTTCGCCAAGTAAAGGACAAAATTTGCAGCTCTCCACTAGCAAATGTTGGCATCCCCATGAGTGAAAAATTCTCAAGAAGAACGTTAAACAACATACAAACAAACAATAAACTAAAGAGTCTTTGAATATGCAAATTCTTCTTTTCTTAGAAAGGGATCCTCAAACGATGTTTAGATATGGTTCATAAGAGTAGAAAAGTACTGTATCATCCCAGTCTTCATGAATTCAGCAACCATTTTTATATGGCCTGAAAAATATAAAATGTTAATACATTAATATAAAAGTATATGATTGATATATTTATAATTCATCAAAAATTAATTGAATCAATAAAATAAAGTCACACTTGTTATCTTGAAAGGCTTATTGGACTGCTGAAAAACTGAGATATCCAAGAGATTCAGGTTAAGATATATAGAACAAAAAAGTGTTCAAGGAACTTAAAAATAACTTTGATATCTCAATGTGTTCAAGATATCACTCAGTGTTGAAGATATATACCAAAGTTCAACTCTAAACAGAGTATATAAAATTCATATATGCCATTTATGGTTGCTAATTCAATCTATCATTGTTCATTAATAATCTGCATGAGAAAGAGATCTGCGCAAAATGAGCTAATTAAATTAACAAAATAAAACGTATGCAATGCAAAGTGTTTGCAAACCATTTATCCAATTTGTAATACTGTCATGAACACCAACATGACCCTAGGTAGTCAAAGTTGTTTGATTTAAGATACATCTGTTCTGTTGTTTAACTGTACTTAATTAGACTGCACTGCATTCACTTGATGTCCAACAGCACACATTTTTCACACTTGTCATCCATCATTTACTATCATGATGAGAGTTATGCCCCTTTTCTATAACCCCAAAATATTGCTTTCTCTCTGAAAATTGTAGCTATTTGACCTTATCTAGTTTGTGAGCTCTGCAGATTATTCATAACCAGCTATTTTAATTTGCAGCTAGTTTGATATTTAAAGATTAATTGAAAGATTGAAACTCAAGATATTAAAATAGGAATTTAAATTATGAAAACTGAAATTATTTTAATCTCTACTTAATTTAAAAGCCAAGAAATAAACAAAATGATTTTGCAATATTTACAAACGACTTTCAAAATAAACATTCTGTCTCTAATTATGGCACATCCAATACCCTTGATTTTGGGATTCTGTACTATGATGTATTCGTTAAAAAAATATGATGCATCGCGGCTCTGATAATCTACTAATAAGATTTTATAAAAATCCTTAAATATTCCAGAATAAAACTTTGATACCCCCCCCCCCCACCGTGGCACCACCCCACCCTATACCTTTATGATCTGAACAAATCTACATCTGCTCTGAACTATCTCAGAGTGACTTATCATGACTTGCCTATTCTTGAAAAGAATTGATTTAATTTTATTAGGTCACCTGAGTAACTCAGGTGACCTATTGCTATCCGTTTTCGTCCGTCGTCGTCGTGCATCATGAGTAAACATTTGAACAATTTCAGCTTCTTCTCTGAAACCACTGAACCAAATTTCAACCAAATTTGGTATACAGCATTTATGGGTGGAGCAGAACAAAAATTGTGAATTTCATGGTCCCCGCTCCCCTGGGGCCTGAGGGGTGGGGCCAAAACCACTAAAATTAATGAAATCTTTAAAAATCGTCTACTTTACTCCTGGACATCAAGCAGGCAAACTGTTGGCATGAATGTAATGAGCATTGAGTCCTCTACCAAAATTGTATATTTCATGGCCCCAGGGTCAGGGGTTCTAGTGCTAGGGCGGGGCCCTATAGATTATATAGTGAAAATGCATTATTTCTTTGAAAATCTTCTTCTCTGCTCCTGGGTATTAAATACACTAACTAAGCACATAGTTATGATGAGTAAGAGTGCCTCTTCCAAAATTGTGAATTTTATGGCCCCAGGGTCAGGGGTTCTGGTGTTAGGGTGGGGCCCTATAGATTATATAGTGAAAATGCATTATTTCTTTGAAAAACTTCTTCTCTGCTCCTGGGTATTAAATACACTAACTAAGCACATAGTTATGATGAGCAAGAGTGCCTCTTCCAAAATTGTGAAATTCATGGCCCCAGGGTCAGGGGTTCTGGTGTTAGGGCGGGGCTCTATAGATTATATAGTTAAAATGCATTATTTCTTTGAAAATCTTCTTCTCTGCTCCTGGGTATTAAATACACTAACTAAGTACATAGTTATGATGAGCTAAAGTGCCTCTTCCAAAATTTTGAATTTTATGGCCCCAGGGTCAGGGTTTCTGGTGTTAGGGCGGGGCTCTATTGATTATATAGTAAAAATACATTTATTTTTTGAAAATATTTTTCTTTGCTTCTGGGTTTTAAGCCAATGATCCAAGTATATATATATATTTATGATGAAGAAAGGTGCATCTAGCAAAGTGGTTTTTCTGCCCCCAGGGTCAAGGAGGGGGGGTGGTTACATAGTCTGAAAATAAATTAATGCTTCGAAATCTGCTCTTTGGTATTAATCAACCATTTTATAATTAAAGTTGCAAAATTTTGAAATATATGGCCCTGGGTCAGTGGTTCCTTTGGGGTGAGGTGCACAACTGGTTATAAAGTGGAAGTGTATTTTCTCTTTGTTACTCTGATTTACCTCTGGGCATAAAGTAAATAGAGTAAGCATGCTAAGTTAATAATAATGATAAGCAATGGTGCCTCTTTCAAAATTGTAAATTGTGAATTTCATGGCCTCCGGTTTAAACACGAACCAAATTTAATTGTTTGGAGGTTGTTACACAATACTCAGGTGACCTATAAGGCCTGTGGGCCTCTTGTTTGTCTACGGATTACTATTGTTCTCTCTATTTTATTGCTTTACTCTATTTACATCAATAACATATCTTCACCAGTAAGCAACGTACCTTCTCTTTGGCCTTGACATCCTTTCCTATTCTCGTGGTTGAAGCTTTCATCAGATAATTTGTATTGTTACAGCTGAACTACAATTATGATTAACAAATAAATACAATCCTCTAACTTTAATTAATCCAAACAAAATACATGAATTTGCAATTTGCCAAAAAAAATGAAAGAAAAATACTGACAAATATCATTGCACTACATGCAAATCAGAAAAATATGAAAATCATTTTAAGTTTGCATAATATTCTGATTTATATATTGGCATAAGTTTCAGTTCATTAAATTGTTTGATTAAAAATTATACAACAAACTATATTTATACTGTCCCCTTTAATGGATTTTCTTCTGTCTTGAACTTACATGCAGCATGATGTGAGAATTTTTCCACCCATTCTTTATTATTAAAGGATCTGCAGAAAATAGAACAGAATGTGATTAAATCTTTGAGCATTAAACGAAAACAAAAATCACTGTCCTGATCATGCATTAATTTCAATTATATTGACCCTTTTTATCAACATCTCTCTCTCTCTCTCTCTCTCTCTCTCTCTCTCTCTCTCTCTCTAACTATATATAGATAACTTAATTACACAGGATTCTTTTATACACTGATATGTACATGTATACAGGTGTATATATTGGAGTAATTGGGCGAGTTTCATATTTTTTCTTTGTTTATTCCAAACAGCATGATCAGGATGAAAATAATTAAATACTACTTATAATGTTGCATATTACATGTTATAAATTTATCCTTACAGTTATAACATTGAATATGCAACATTATATCCTTAAAGTTACATGTACAATACTCAAAACAGCCTTTTTAAATTTTGGTTAAAGCTGTTAAAAACTGACAATTGTATTTTGAAAATGTGTTATGAATATTTGTTCAATGAATGTGAATATTCCGGCAGACACTCTGATAACTGGGTTGTAAATATCAAACAAAAACTTTTTGAGAATGGACTCGGATTTATCTGGCTTGAACAAGACAAAGAAATGATTTATAATCAATTTCCTGTAATCAAACAAAGAATAACAGATAATTTCATACAAAATCTCATGGCAGAAATTAATTGTTCAACAAAATGTACTTTTTACAGACACATTGTAGATTATTTAATCTTGCAATATTATTTAAGAAAGTCAATACCTAATCTTTTTAAAAAAAACAAATAAGTAGAATAAGAATGTCTTCCCATTACCTTGCAATTGAAACTGGCAGGCATAGAAATATTGTGAAGGAACTTATAGATTTTGTGAATTTTGTAAAAATATCATAGAAGATGAATTTCATTTTGTTTTAATTCGTCCCCTATACAAGGAATTGAGAAGTAAATATATTAAAAGTTATAACTGGAATAAACCATCCAAACTAGTCCAATTATTGAGTGTACAAAACTTTTCTGAGCTTTGTAATTTAGGTAAATTTCTGCATTTAGCTTTTAAGTTAAGAGATGAAAAAATGTGATTCATTCTTCGTTTGTCCAATCATTATATCAGTATATGTATTTACATTTATTATGTGACTCAAAGTTTTTATATCTAATGTATAGACGCGCCATACCAAGTGACTTTATTATATAAACTAGGCGCTGTTTTTTTCATGTGTTGATACCAAACCATACCAATCTAGTTTTTCTTAATTATATTTGTAATGAAATTGTGATAATACGTATGTATTAAGCAATAAAGAATAATATTATAATAATAAAACAGGCAAACCTTGAACTTTCACATCGCTGTCTTCAGAATATATCCTACAAGAAAAACATTCATTGCACATTATAATTGTTTTGATAATAATTTTCTTTTTTATATATTTGCTTTTTTTTAAATGAAATTAAAATTTATGTGCATGCATTTAGTACAGCATCATGCGCATACATATGGCAGATCATTTTTAAATTCAATCAACAATGCCATTCTTCAAAAGAAAAGATACATTGTACACATGTAAAGATCAGTAATGCCCATGTTTTAAAAGTGAAAAAAAATACTTTCTTGTGTATGTGATTTGTGTGGGATGGTGCATATCATAAAAAAAAACAACAACAAAAAGGATGGAATGTCCAGCAGACTTTAATAGCAGACTTTACAATGCAAGGCTAAAAAATAATTGATTGCTCACTGGACTGGGGTCAGTGAATTTTTTTTTATCTAGGCTAGTAGTAGCCTAGTGGCATAATGATATTATGATGAGCTGACCAGTAAAAAGCCTGAGTGAGCAGTGAAAGATTTTTTTTCTAGCCCTACAATGATTTCACATTTGTCTTACATCATATATATATACATTTTCGAAATTCAATAATCTTTGTTTATGATCTTAAAGGGTCAATTGTGTTTACTTATTTTTGTCATACCTGGAAATGGCTGTTCAAGATGTACATGTACTCTAACCCGCAATAGACAAACAAAAAAGAAAAATATTTTTCATGTTTAATTAGATACATGTTTTCTTACAAACAAAAATGCAAAACATCAATGTAAATTATGTTTACATCCACAGAGACACAGATTGATGCATAATTGGTATGTCTGTCCTTCTGTTACGCTTTGGGGTACCCATCTCTTATCTGCTTATTCCTCAGCTTATGCCACTGAGTGATATTTGATGAGACTTTCACAGAATTTTTATTACAAATTACAATGGTGCATCTTCTATTTTATTTTTTGATCCGACACATATGTGGGTTTCTCGTAGCAAAACATGGACACTAATTCAGTGTCAAAGCTCATTGCTCACAGTACCTCTGGTTTTATAATATTTATACTATCTCATTAGCTAAGTTTTAGATGGGCAATACTTTTAAAGGGAAAAAAGTGGTACATAAAGAAATATTCAAAAACTTTCATAAGCTACATATGTGAAGTTTCATGTCTGATATATTTAAGGAATAACTGTCTTATTTTTCGATTTCATGAAGTGATCAATTGATTGGCTTGCGTGATAATTTGCATAAACGCCGAAGGCGTTTATGCATAAAATTATCACGCAAGCCAATCGATTGATCATCTTCAAGGAATTGAAAAATCTGACAGTTATTCCTTATGATTACATGCTTTGATTCCGCCAATCCACGTGCTCCAAGCACTGTTCTGTCTAACTATTTGTTCCGCCCTACATGTGGTTTTTTTGGAACCGAGGGAATACATTGATAATTAAGGAAATAAAGTACATTTACATTTGGTTATTTTATCTAGGACAAAGACATTGGAAATGTAAATATACACAAGTATGTGAGAACTGCATGCATTGACTCATGTTGACATGGACATGCATCTGATCAGAATATCTATGATATTAAACTAGAAAAGTAACCACCATTTTTTGATCAGTAGGCACTAGTGAAAAACTGCACGATTGATATAAACAGCTGACACTATTAAAACTGCAAACAATTGTAAAGAAACCTTTATCCAGGTACACATGTATATGTGTAGAGGAAATTCGGAAGAACTTCTTGTGCATACACACGAGTACTTTAATCTTTTGGTATTTAAAAAAAACCCACATATGGTTCTCACAAGTCACTGGGTATTGATAAGTAAAAATAAAGACTTTTATACGCGTAATTCTGCATATGCATGCCATGTTAGACTACCTTACAAGTAGGAACGGCCTATAGCGCATCTGCATTTTCTCTTCAACTTAAGACATGCTATTAACATCATTTGACAAACATGCCCTAAAATATTTAGCCATTTTGTGCTACATGTAATCGAAGAAATAAATAAAATTCTACTTACGAGTGTTTTTGTTTACTAAATCAATGTTTGTGGGTTAATCTTGACCGACACAAATACTCCCTTCCACGTGGAAACATGTTTACAAAATCGAGAGGTGCTGTTTTTGACACTTTAAAGTGCAATAGCACTTGACAGAATGAGAAACCGTATACCCAATCTCTACCCAGAGTTGCCGTTCGCTTCGCTACAACGTGGAACGACAACTCTGGGTAGAGATTGCCGTATACCTACATATGTACTTTCACTTTTCAAGTAAAGAAACGTTTGTTGTTTTTTTTTTTTTTGCAATTTACAAACCTTATAATACGAGAAAACATAAAGTTTTACCTCTTTTTTCATGTTGAATTTCTCTCTCGAATTTCACCACGGGCATGTTGCTCTCGTTGAATATCCTCGCAAGGAAAGATGTTCGGACGTTTACGGATTTTGTTCATATTTTATAACATTTATCTCCGAATTATTGCTAATAAGGTTAGGAGGTGTGTGAATGCCCCGATTAAAACTTCTTGCGATATTTTTAAATGCCAAGGACTTACGTGGAACCTTGGAATACCGATGCAATGAGACAGAACTATTTATATTTCTTTTTAAACTTTGCTTTGTGGCTAATTACAATAGATAAATTACAAGTAAGACTGAACTCTTGATTTGATAAAATGGTCTATAAACTGCTTGTTATTCTGAACATGAACGTTTTACCGATTCTCATACACATGTGTTGACTTTGGAATATTCAACAGCTTCTTATTTGGAAAAAAAAAAAAAAAAAAAAAAAAAAAAAACCTGTACATTTACTATACTATGATGCATTTTTGATATATATTAAGAGCACATTTTAGTCCTTACCTGCGAGAAATTTCACTTATATACACTGCACAGGTCCGCCATTTCTTATTTAAATACAGGTGTGTACCCCATTTAACATATATACTTTAAAACTTCCTATCACGTGGGACATTCCACAACAAACCTCGCTTACGCTCTATTGTTTGTTATCTTCAGGAAAATCTTTACTCCTGCAATATTGTTAATTGTGTGCATTCGTTTCCAACCTATCATAAAATAAAACTCAAAGGTATTAAACTTTATTTTTTGCGAACTTTACCTATTTTAAAAGTCCCCATTGTCTTTATATATATAATAATATAATATAATAAATAAAATATAATATAATATAATATAATATAATATAATACAATATAATATAATATAAAATAATATTATATAATATTATATAATATAACATAATATTATGACTGCATGCACTTGAAGATACATGTATGAAGAGTTTGCGTCAAAATAAACTTTCAAAACATACTTTTTTATTGCAACAATTAGTATGTATTTACGATGTACATGAATGTACGAATCCGTTTTCTAAGGCGGCGGTCATCCTAATTTCTTCAATCTTCATGCGATAATGAGGACGCCCACTTCTTTTTAAATATGTGAATTTTTAGGCAGCATTTTTTGTGCCAAGTAAAACACTGTGCTCGAACACGTTAAATAGTCAGCCATCGATTTAAAATATACGTTATTGACATGTAATGGCTCATATGTTTTAAACCTTTGAAAAAAAAACGCTCTTGGGTCTTACAAAATAATTAGGAAGATTGAAAATAGATATATCATATTCTAAAGACATGAAACTGTTATTCATCCAATCTAATTTTAGATCCATTCTTACATATGTACGATGTTAGCTCCACATTCTGTTCGATCAAGGGCAACAAAGTGTGAATTCTCTGTACTTGGAAAACCGTAAGGTTAAAAAAACCATTAATTTTTTCATGTAAAAGCGACAGAAGCGACCGGAAAAGACCCTAAAACATTGCTCTAATTATACATATACTATGGGGTCAGCACCTCAAATGATAGGTTAACCCTTAGTAAGAAGGTTGTTTCAACGAAGTAAAAATATAAGCCGATGGAAAGATTGCAAATGGAGGGAAGACGGTACAATGACAAAGATGCTGAAAGAACTTGACCTTACCTTACTACAAAATAGACGTCAACAAAGTGCACGTGGTTGAGGGGCAGATACCAGCTATTGCACCCGATAAATTTATCAAATTTCAAAAACAGAAAAGAAACATCAGACCCAAAGTGTACGAAGATTACCAATACATCTAATATAATAAACAGTAGCATAAGAAACAGCAACAAAGCAGTAGAAATACCAGACGCAAAGGTAGACCAATTTCAGAACTCGTTCTTTGTGCGTATTGCTATAGAGTTGAACAATCATAAAGAAGAAATAATCCGTGCCTCTAAGCTAGAGAGCTTCAAGTCAGTGCTAGAACATCAGCACAACCAAATGCGCCCTCCCTCCGTCACGTTAAAACCCTTTGGGATCCTGTGACGTAACAATACAGATACAGAAAATTGAGGTCGTAATTTTTACTCAAGCCCTATATCTAATTAAAACGATGCTTGGTCATCTATTTACTCATTTTAAAAACACGAAAATATATAATTTGGTATAAAAAATATTTCTATAAAAACATGAAGCTTATCTTGAAAAAGTTTTCATTTCAAGTTGTGAAATAGGCTGCAATTTCGGTAAACTTCGGATTGATCTCGGTAGTTTACGGAATAAAATGCTTTTTCAGTTCGAGTGAATATCAAAAGGCACAATTCGAATATTTTTATTTCAATTGATAGATGATTCAAGAAAACAACAAGATGATAACAAATTTGCTGTTTAAATACGTTTAAAGGTACATCCTTTAAAATAAAACGTTGTCTCCGAGACTATAAAATTCAAGATGGCAGCGCCCATGAAAAATCAGACAGGGAAGGAACGGTTCAAGAAAAGACTTAATTTGATGCGCACCGAGGTGCTTTAGAAGATCGTACTTGTGAAATAAACTTATTTGTGATTCCATGCATATTTGTGAGGGATGCTGTTATGGTATTACCCTAATTTTAAGCAGTAAGAGACTAAAAGATCGTAAGATGACTCGGAGGGTCATCGAGTTTGATGTTCATTGCCTCAAATTGCGTTCAAATATTGTTTCTTCGGACCATTATTCTTTTGCAAGAGAGCAATTAAATGTGGGTGAAACTCTGGTTAGGTGGTTTTGGTACATAAAGTGCGGAAATTGCTTGCAGTTGGCATCGGTGTTCCCGAAAGCTGAGAAAATCCAAAGGGATGCAGAACTTCAGTGTCTTCTTCTCTTCTTCTTTTTCTTTTTCTTCTTCTTCTTCTTCTTCTTCTTCTTCTTCTTCTTCTTCTTCTTCTTCTTCTTCTTCTTCTTCTTCTTCTTCTTCTTCTTCTTCTTCTTCTTCTTCTTCTTCTTCTTCTTCTTCTTTCTGTCCAGTGCTGACCTCGATATGGAGTGTAGTAGCACGTCGAACACAGCTAAAAGCCTCTTATTTACAGTTAAAAATCGGTTAAAAACAATGTTCTACATGTCACTTAAGGTGATAGGAAGCAGCTATGGTATTGCTTAGCTGCTTCTTAAAGCCTTCGATGGTACTGGCTTCTTTAACATGATCTGGCAGGCTGTTCCAGACCCTGATGGTTCTTGGGAAGAAGGAGAACTTGTACACGTCTTTGTATGTAGGTGTCTGACGGTATTTGCTGCCCCTTGTCCGAGTATCCCCTGGTGTTAAGTACGATGTTGCTGGGATATCAATGAGGTCGTT